GGCGCGCAGGGCTGCGGCCTCACTGGGCTCCCGGCCCGGATCCCTGGACTTGCTGTTTCCCTCGGAGCCCCCTGAACTGCTGGGCGTAGAGATTTGTTGCAGTGTCGCCTATCATCCTGGATTTGTGGGTGCCTGCGGCTCGGCGCTCCACCCGACTCCGTGCGCTCGGCGTGGGGCTCCGGGCTCCTCTGTCGCTTGATGTCGAGCCAGGTGAGTGTCTGGGGAAGCTTTGAGCTCGAGGCCTCCGTCTTTAAAAAGGGTCCTTTGGAGGGAGCCCGAACCTAACCTGAGCTCCCTTCCAATCAGTGCAATTTCAAATCTCCAGGCTCGTTCATTCCAGTACCGGCTAATTCTGGTTTGGCAGAAAAAAATTGCAGTCTCCTCACGTGCACACTCTTGTGGCCGGTCGTAGATTATAGCTTTGGCTGAGGCTCGCTAATGGCTCTGCACATTTTTATTACTGAAGGCGAGGACCTGAAACCGAACCCAAGATGCAGGTGAGAACAGGAGTATCTTCCATTGCTCTGAGATAGGAGACCCGTGATGCAAAAGACCCCCACCCAACTCTGGGCCATAAAATATGGCAGTTTGTAGGTGCAAGAGGAGGGCAGGACTGGCAGTATTCTTGGCCAAAAAGGACTGAAAAATCCCTTCTCCTTTGTCCCATGCTGGGTCCCACAGCTCCCTGCTTTTCCTCCAGTATCTGACGGTTTGTCGTTCCTTACCTTCGTTCATGGGCACCAGACACAAATTTCATTTCCACGTATGACTACCCTGTTCCCAACACAATGATTTGCCCATGGAAAAATTTTAATACCTGTGAGGTGAATGTTGGAATAAAGGAAGCCAGGACTATTTTACTGTAGTCGTTTCCTATTGCTGGTTGGTGTAATAAATTATCACAAACTCAGTGGCTGAAAACAGCACAGATTTATTATCTTGCAGTTCTGGAGGTTAGAAGTCTGAAATAGGTTCTAGCTGGCTAACCTCACGGTGTTGGCAGGGTTGTGTTCCTCCTGGCAGCTCAGGCAAGAGCCACCAGCTCCTCGGCTCATGGCCACTTCCTCTGTCTTCAAAGCCAGCAGTGTTACATCACTGTGTGCCTTTCCCCTATAGTCACACCACCTTCTGTCTCTCCTGTTCTCCCTCTTCTACTTTGAAAGGCTCTTGGGATTACACTGGGCCTACCCCCTGGTTATTGGGTTATTGGATAATCTAAATAATCCCCCTGTTCTAAGGTCAGCTGATTAGCAATCTTAATCCCACCTGTGACCTTAATTTCCCTTTGCCATGTAAGGTAACATACAGGATGCAGGGATTAGGCTGTGGCCATCTTTGAGAGACTGTTATTCTATCCACCCACAATTTCTTTCTTTCTTCCTTTCTCGTTTCTTCTTCTTCTTTTTTTTGCAAGAAAGAATAGTCACATGCATTTCACATCGCCACTTCTTATTTCAAATCTTGATTAAAAAATAATTGAGAACACTGAGAAATTGTGGCTAAGTGAGGACATTTTGATGAGGCACTGGGCTTATGGGTCCAAATGTTTTACGTTTGCTCATCAGAACATGAGCAATTAGGTGCTTAGTGTTCTCTTGGGCTGTCCTCCAATACCACTCATTTCAGCAAGGCTTTTGACGGCAAGTCAAGATTGGGGTTCCTGGCAAACATCTCAAATTCAGATGATTCATTTTGTTTTAAAAGAGGTGTGTAAGGCTTTTAAGTCTGTCCCCCCCCACCCCCCAGAAATCTGATAGATTTATTGAGGGATAATTGATATAATTAGAACTGCACATATTTAAATCTACAATTTGATGAGTTTTAGCATAAGTCTGTGGAACCATCACTTCAGATAACTCCAGAATTTTTCTTGTACCCTTTGTAATTCAGTCCTCGCTCCTCCACACCCCTAGGCAACCTCTCATCTGCTATCTGCAAAGCTTCTACCCTGAAAGGTACTTCACATCTAAAATGCCTCTCAGGCCCTGACCGGTTTGGCTCAGTGGATAGAGCGTTCAGCCTGCGGACTGAAGGGTCCTAGGTTCGATTCCCATCAAGGGCATGTACCTTGGTTTTGGGCACATCCCCAGTGGGGAGTGTGCAGGAGGCAGCTGAATTGATGTTTCTCTCTCATCGATGTTTCTACCTCTTTATCGCTCTCTTTCTCCCTTCCTCTCTGTAAAAAATCAATAAAGTATATTAAAAAATAAAATAAAATGCCTCTCAGGAGGCTTTTCTCCTCCCCAGCTTTACTGAGATGTAATTCACAAATGAAATTGCATACATTTGAAGTATACAATGTGATGATTTGATACACATATACATTGTGAAATGACTACCACAATCAGGTTGATAAACACATTCATCACTTCACATAGTTACCTTTTAAAAAATATATTTTTATTGATTTCAGAGAGGAAGGGAGAGGGAGAGAGAGATAAAAACATCAATGATGAGAGAGAATCATTGATCGGCTGTCTCCTACACACGTACCACAGGGGATAAGCCCGCAACCCAGGTATGTGCCCTGACTGGGAATTTAACCTGGGGAACTCTTGATTCCTGGGCTGACACTCAGTTGCCAAGCCACACAGGCCAGGCTAGTTACCTTTTTAGTGGTGAGAACGCTTAAGGCCTATTCTCAGCAAATTTCAAGAATACAATACAATAATAATATAGTTAATATTGTTAACTATAGTTACCATGCTATACATTCTATCCCCAGAACTTAACTGGAAGTTTGTACCCTTTGACCTACATCCCTCCATTTCCCCCATCCCTCAGCCCCTGGCAACCACCATTGTATTCTCTGTTTTTATGAGTTTGACTTTTGTTTTTAGATTCTACATATGAGTGAGATCATGCAGTCATCTCTGTCTAACTTGTTTCACTTAACATAATGTCTTACAATTTCATCCATGTTGTCACAAAAGGCAGGATATTCTTCTTTTTTTGGAGCTGAATAATATTCTATTGTATACAGATACCACATTTTCATTAGCCACAGATCCATTGACAGGCATTTAGTTGCTTCCATATCTTGGCTTTGTAAATAATGCTGCAATAAACATGGCGTGCAAGTGTATCTTCAAGATCCCGATTTTCCTTTCCTGTTAAAGGCTGTTCTGATAAATAATTTGTTTCATCTGTGCTACAACACAAACAAGTCTTGACATTATAATGATAAGTAAAAGAGGTTAGTGTTATGACCACACAGTGCATGATTCCATTTATAGGAGATGTCCAGAATAGGGACATCTATAGAGACAGAAGTAGATTAGTGGTTGCCTAGGGCTGCGGATGTTGGGCAGAGAATAGAGACTGCTAATGGGCATAGCGCTTGTTTCAGAGATGGAAATGCTCTAAAGGTGATTTTGGCAATGGGTTGTGCAAGTCTGTGAATATCCTAAAATTATTAAATTGTAAAAATACAGACCAAAACTAAACCAAAATCCAAATTTAAAATCTCCCCAAACTGACAAGTAGACCATAAATGAGCCAATCCTGAGTCTGGGTTATCATCTAAGTGTAATGCTGAGTCTACTTCTATGTGCCTAAAGTCCAAGATACAGTGAATCTTCCTTAAGCAATAATTTTTATGCAGTCATACTAGTATACATTTGTCTAATGCGTACACATAGAAGAGCCTACCTATTTTAAAGTTTATCAGACTATTTGCTGCTTCGTGGTACCTGCAACCTCCTCATTTGTCTTGCTGCCTGGACATACCTGTCAGATAGGCAGGCTGCAACAGAGCCCTCAAGTTTTCCTGAATATCTGCGGCATGAGATCCTATGGGAAGGCCATTGCTTTTCAATAGGGGTATTCTAAGCAAGATCATGAGAGAAATTCCAGCACTTCAGATTTGAATTTTCTTCCTGGTATAGGACCTCCCCAGATTTTATCTCAAAGCACACAGAACTACTGCCCCTAGTAGTTTCAGACCTACATTTACCAGGAATTCAAATTCTTAGAACAGATCAAGGTGATTAGATACAAAGCAAACTCAAAGACATGTTTCTGTCTTTACATTAGTCTTCAAGTTTTTTTACATTTTCCTTTCTGATAACCAGTATCCTCATGATTTCATAAGAGTAGAAGGTCTAAAAATGCCAGTTCTGTTACTAACTTGGAAATTAAACACTTTTTCACACATGGGTCTTAAAGAAATAAGGCTTGGTTCATGGGGGTTGTATTATAGTTTTGTTGATTAATATTATATATTATTTGTTTAACTTTTATGAAATCAGTGATGGTATTAGCAAATCATTAAAACTTTTTTTCTGCAGCTATAGATTTTTCTTCTTCTTTAAAAAACATTTTTTATTGATTTTAGAGAGGAAGAGAGAGTGAGAGAGAAATAGAAATATTAATGATGAGAGAGAATCATTATCAGCTGCCTCCTGCATGCCTTCCAGTGAAGACTGAGCCCATGACCCGGGCATGTGCCCTGACCAGGTTAATAGGTCGATGCTCAACCACTGAGTGACACCGGCCAGACTAGATTTTTCTTCTTTTATTTAATATTCATTTTCTTGCCCTAACCGGTTTGGCTCAGTGGATAGAGCGTCGGCCTGTGGACTGAAAGGTCCCAGGTTCGATTCCGGTCAAGGGCATGTACCTTGGTTGTGGGCACATCCCCAGTGGTGGGTATGCAGGAGGCAGCTGATAAATGTTTCTCTCTCATTGATGTTTCTGACTATCTCTCTCCCTTTCTCTCTGTAAAATATCAATAAAATATATTTAAAAATATTGATTTTCTTGAAAAGTTTCATGTAGATCAAATATTACTTTAAATGCTCTCAGGTTATTCAGTAATGGAAATGCCTGGTGAATCTTTCTGAGACTAGAAAAATCCTCATGTACTGATATATTTATATACTAAATATGTTTTATAGGTTAGGATTTAAATTTTATTATTTATCTTAAACTATACTATTTTTAACATATTTTGAGTGTCCAAAAATGGATCATTGGCATTAAACATCCATGCTCAATACTCAAAAGTCAACTGCACATCATATGCTTTGAGAATGTCAATCATAAATAGGATAAATTTGGGACTCCATGAATATGGGTGCGAAATATCTAGCACTTCCTCTTGTTAGGTGTGACCACAGTGTGGCCTTCTTTGCAATAACAAATGTTTCTAATGCAACCAGTTGAAGATATGAGATGTGGGTGCTGCAAATCTAAGAAAAAAAAAAGAAGACTTTGGTTGGAGTACTTGAACCATTCTCTTCTTGTGGGACAGGTTATATCTGGTAAAATTAATACAGGGTATTGTGAGATGATGTATAGTTTAAGGGAGACTTAGTAGACAGTTTCTTTTACTTTACACAGGAGGAAGGTAGTTCTCTTTTCTATGATCATTTTTGATGGATTTTGTATACTTCTACCCTGTACCTTTAAGACAAGCATAGGAAACCTATTAGCCAGAGCTCAATCAGAATGAGCTGCAGCTCTTCAGCCCTGTTATAACAGTATTCTTGAACCTCTGCTCTGTCTTGCCCTTGACTTTGGACTTCCTCCATTCTGTTTGCTACCTCACTCCTGTTGACTTGGCCTTGTGACTCAGGTCCCTAGTTTTTCTCTTCACCTTGATAGTAAATCTTCCAGCACCAGGCTGTTTTTGTAACATTGTTCACCAGGCCAGTTTTTCGTCTGGGTCTACCCTGGCTCCTTTGTCAGAGAAGATCAGATTATTTCAATGTATTGTGAAGGTTGAGGC